AGAGTCTGCCTACCTGCTTTCCAAGAAAGGGTCATCAGGAAAGACTGGCAGGTGAGCAAACACCAAGCAAGGAAGTAGACAGGAGGAAGTGCTAGAGGAGGTGAGAAGACCAGAGGAAGAAATGTTAGAGGAAAACCTTCCTCTAACTTTCTATTTCTCTTAAATTAAGGAGTATAAAGCTGAGCACGGTGGTACACACCTATAATCCCAGCACTCGGGAGGCTGAGGCAAGAGGATTGCCATGAGTTCGAGGCCAGTCTAGGCTACACAGTAAGTTCGAGGTCAGCCTAAACTGCATAGGGAGACCCTGTCTCTCAAAAAACTAAAAAACACCCCAAAAAACAAAAAACCAAAAACTCAGTACATGTAATGAGAATGACCAGCAGAGGGCACTCCAAGCAGCATGAAAGATGCTTAACGTTCATGTGGGGGTCTTTGAGCTCTTGGTTTTCTTCTCTTCTGATTTCTTTTTTCTTTCTTTTCTTTTCTTTTCTTTTCTTTTCTTTTCTTTTCTTTTCTTTTCTTTTCTTTCTTTCTTTCTTTTTTTTTGAGACAGAGTCTCACTATACATTTCAGGCTGGCCTTGTATTCGCCTATGTAGCCCAGGCTGGCCTCAAACTTACAGCAATCCTCCTGCCTCAGCCTCCTTAGTGCTGCGCATGTGCACCAGAGCTCCTGAATTTTTAAAAACAAAACAAAACAAAAAGCAGCTTTCACAACTTACTGGGCAGCAGTTGCAAAAGGCTAAAGGCCTCAATAAGTAGCATTACCTTTGAATTAAAATAAACACTTTCACGGGGAACAAGGTACTTGAGCAAAAGGTCAGTAGGTGGCAAACTTATCCATTCTTTAGGCTGAAGAAGACCTGTGTTGGTATGTACCATTCTAGAGAAATAGTGGAGTTCTTGTTTCTTTTATTTATAGAAGCAGGGAGTGAGTGGTGTGTGTGTGTGCATGTGCCAAAAACACACTGTACACAAAGTAAATTCCTTTTCAAATAGTTGTGAAACGTTTATCAATAAGATAAGTCAGTATGTATCAAAATCAGTTGGTAACTCAGCCTCTTGAAGGTCACTTCCAATTTAGCAAGAACAGAAACAAAAGATCATGTTTTGTGTTCTCTTAGATTTTCATACTGGGGGAACACAAAATATGATCTTTTGCTTCTGTTCTTGCTACGTTGGAAGGATACATAACTTGGGCTGCTAATGGAGATCACGTCTACTCTGTAATGTACTATGTCTAATATTAAAATGTCCACTCCAGCTTTCTTTTGATTAGTATTGGCACTGTATATCTTGTTCTATCCCCTTTCTTTTGACCTATTTGTGGCTTTGTATTTAAAGTGTGTTTCTTGTAGACAGTGTAGAGCTGCTGCTTGTGCTGTTGTCCAGTCTGATCATTTCCACATTTAAATTGTGCTGTTGACTATGTATGTTTAATACAATCACTGGGATAGCTGAGTTGAAACCTGCCACCTCCCTGTTTGAATTTTTTTTAATGTTTTCTTCTTTCCATTCTTTTCCTCTTTTTCTGCCTTTTGGGGATTTTGTAATGCTTTTCTTTTCTCTTATTGGCATGTCGGCTACATGTTCTGCCCCTTTTTTTTTCTTCGTGGTGGCTGTGTGGTGTGTAGATCTTCTTTAACTTACCTGGCTGTGTGCCTGGTGTCACATCTCCCAGTGAGTCAGTGGTGTTCCTGACAGCCATTCTTGGTCACTGTGCTTGCTGTGATGGTTCGCTGATTGCATCAACTGCAGTAAGAAATGCCCAACTAAACTGGGCCAGCGTCGTTCTGGGTGTGGCTGAAGGGACTTACTGAAGAGAGTAGATCCACCCTGGGTGTGGGTGGCACCAACCAGTAGGCTTGTGGCCTGAATGGATAAAAGGGACCGAAGAAGGAAGGCTGCTTCTGTTGCCTTGGAGGTGCTCCAGTCTTCGCCTTCACCTTGGACGGTGTCTCTTGGCTTCCAGCGCAGACCCAGGAGCTCCTGATACAGACTCGCATGGGACACTGCAGTGAGCTCCAGGTCTTTGACTGGATCTTTCTGTCTCCAGTGCACAGATGGGCCTTTTGCGCTCTTCCACCCCTGACTCTGTGCGTGGTCATTGTAAGCCAATCCTGTAGATTCTTATATATTTGTATATCTTATATTAAATTGGTTTCTCTAGTGAACAGTGACTGATACAGTTGGCGATAATGTAATTACATGTAGTGAATCATACAAACGTATCTCACTAAATCCCAAGTAAGTGTAGCCTTGACTCAACCTCCTTCCAGTCAGATTCTGGGAATGGCTGGTGCTTGCCCAATACTACCTGACAAGAAAGGGCTTATGACAGAAAGGGGGTTTGAGGGGGAAATAAGACAGTTTTACAAACTCGAGTTAGTGTTTAAGAGATGGCTTAGTTCACAGCAAAATTGAGGGGAAGAGACTGTGTGAGTGCCACCTGCTACTACATGTGCGGAGCCTTCTCCACCGTCTGTGTCCTTTTCAGAGTGGTGCTTTGGTTAAAACCCATGAGCCTGCACTGACACTTCATTATTGCCCCTAATCTGTAGTTTGCATGAGGGATACATAGATCCAAGTTGTGGTAAACTGTAGGTCGCTCCACCCAAACCCTTCAGATTTCATTCGGCCAGGCTTTGCCAGCATCGGTATTTGGGAGCCTGGGAACATTCTGTGTTAGTGAGACCTGAGGACACACTGCACATGGAAGGTGCTGGAGCAGGGTTTCATCTCCCTGCACCCCAGCCCCACTCACCAGTGACTGACCCAGGTTGTGCAGAACCCTAGCATGCTTCTCCCTCAGGCAGCCAACTCTGAGACACAGAATTTCCTAGCAAGCCTGAGCTTGTTACCCAGAGGACTTTTTTATTTTACCTCTCCATTGGCTGCCTTCCCTGTCTCCCTTCCCCACCTGCCTACTGGTTTGTGCTGGGATCATCTAAGTAACTGACACGCCCTGGGACCTTGTCTGCTCCCAGAGAACCGGACTGAAACTGTAGAAAGTGAAGTGCCAAGGCGCTCCCCAGGGCAGAGGGCTGCGTGAATGTGGGTCTGCAATCCTGGGCTCCTGAGCGTCATGCTACACCCTCCATCTCCACAGTCCGGCCGTGCTTCAAGCCAATCGTACTGTAGTCCTCTGGGCTCCTCTTACCGGGGCCCTGCCCACCCTTTTGGTGACATCCCTGTTTGTCCATCTGCCATGGTTTGGTGAAATTTGTACCCCAGAAGTTCAGTACTGGAAACCGAGTCCCCATGCCATGATGTTGGGAGGGAGGTGGTAGAACCAGTAAAGAGGCAGCCTAGCAGGGTGGCCGGGCATTGAGGGTGCTGTTCTTAGATGGAATTGCTACAGTGACTCCGTTCACAAACTTCTTTCTTTCCAGAATTCTGGTTGCAAACTGAGTTAGATGAGAACTGAATCAAAGTCAATGGTTAGGTTCAGTGCTTATGGGGAAATTCGATCTGTTTCTCCTCTGGTTCAGTTTGTGACCAGAATCATGATGAGAAGTGAGTTTGGGAACCGAGACAACAATAATGGGATTTTTGGGCAGATGTGGGTTGGTTTCACCAGTGCAGGTTTCTGTGAAGAGGAAGCCTGCTCCCTGAGTCTCTCTGCTTCCTGTTTCAGCATGGATTTGAGCAGGATCCCACCATGAGGCTGCCTGCCAGGAGTGAGAAAGTCAAGGGCCCTCACATGGAGCAGAATGGGCTGCCTGGGTTTTGATTTTCAGCCTCCACAATTAAGAGCTAAAGAAACCCCACTTTAAAATACAGTACCCAGCCTCAGGCATTTTTGTTCAGTAACAGAAATGAGCTAGTATCCTCCCCTTTGCTGTCTCTGCCATCCTGGCCTTCCTGTTGCCTTGCCCTGGGGGCCTTTGCACAGGCTGTCTGGATCCTCCCGTGGCATGCACCCTCCCTTTATTCTGAGCTCTTCCTCAGACCGCCTGCTCTGAGCACCTTGCCTCAAACAAGCCACTCCATCTTTGCCTCGCACCTGCTTTATTTTTTTCTTAATGTTTCAAATCAATTGTATCACTAGTTGTTCTGTACTTGAGTAATACTTGTTGAAAAACGAGCCATTCAGAATGTTCCCACTCTGGCCTTCCCCAGCCAAGTTCTCCATGTGCTCCGCAGGACGCTAATCCGTGGGCTGCGCAGTGCTGTGTGAGAAAGGCTGCGGTGTGCATGCAAGGGAGGAGCAGTCAGTCCTGGTGCAGCCCGATGGCCAGCTGCCCGGGCAGGAAGGGGAGCTGGCTCCGCCTCTGTTTTGAGAGGCTCCACACCAGCATCAAACGTTCCATCCGCTTCTGAGGCTGTCTCATAGGCGACCTCAGCACAGTCATCTTTTGCTGAGCCCCATGACACTAACTCAGAATTATCAACACAGAGGGATCAGGAAAAACAGCTCACTGCTGTTTTGTTAACAAAAAAACAAAAAAAAAACAACTAGCCCTATTTTATTTTCAAAGAGCAATTCAGAGAAACAAATTTTCTGGTGGTATGCAATAAAAAATTATTTTCTTGTGAAAAATTCAGAGCTGGAAGGAAAGTACCATGTTCACAAGAGAAAGTACACGTTTGGTCACACACTGCCCTTTTTCTTTCCAAAGCTGGAGAAAGTTTCAGTTAAAGAAAATTGACCACTTTCCCTCTAAGCTGAATTTTACAGTTCTCACCAGCAACAGCTGTGTTTATCATGGCTGAACACGGACAGAACAGATTCAGGATTAACTACAAGACTGGTATTCTCAGACAATCACTAGCAAACTAAGCAAGCTCTATTACTTTGTGGTATTTTGGATCTCATACATGTAACATAAAAAATTACCTTAGAATTTGCTGCTTTTAGATAGAAGTTGATATATTTTGGTAAAATAGAGTATATTTGTAGTGCAAAAACTGACTTTTGTCTTTTTCTATCTTTGAGACAAGGTCTCACTGTATAGCTCAGGCTGGCCTTGGGTTCACTAAGTAGCCCAGGCTGGCCTGGAACTCGTGGCACTATTCCTGCCTCAGCCTCCCAGATGCTGGGATTACAGGTGTGCACCACATTCACACTTAGATTCATTCTTACGTTTTCAACATTAGATGCACATGGAAACTTCAAATAAACAACACCCCAGTGCTAGACCTCTTTGCCACCTGCCGAAAGCAAAAGGTAGGCCGAGAAATCTTGACTGTAAGTTTTTTTTAAAATCATTCAACACCTAACCTGTGGCCAGCGTCGAGCACGCTCTCCCTGAGTGCTCGCCACCGAGCGCACTCTGTGCTACAGGCTGCGGCTTTCTGGCAGCACCTGCCTGCTCTGGCGCCTTCTGCCTTCTCTGTGCCCACAGCCCAGCTATGGGTTAAGCTATTTCTTCTTTCTAAAGCAGATCCCACAAACGCTTCTAGCATGCTGTTCCACCTCTAAAACACCAAACAAAACCCTAAACACATCACATAAAAGAAATGTGGGGTGCCATAAAATGAAGCTGCTGTGTTTGAAGTCAAATTGGGTAAAAGAGAGAAGGGCCCACCTCCCAACAAGTCTCTTTTGCTAAATAACGGGCGCAGCCCAAATGGAAGTCCTGCTGGATGAAGCTTTCTGTGCCTCTGACTCCTCATCTGTAAGACAAGGGTGATGTTAATATTGACACACAAAGCTGATGTGAAGATCACATGGGCCAAGTGTGTGAAGAGTACCTTGCACACATAGGGAGCCCATACATGTTAGCAGTTATTATGATCATTATTATCAGTTTTAAATTCCTGAATTTAGAGTTGAGTGAAAAAGAGTTCAGCGTGGAGCAAGCAAATAAATGGAGAGGATATGACTGTCTTTGCAGTGAACCTATTCTTACAGAGTTTTGAGAATATTCTGAGCTATGGTATCTTCATCTTCATACATTTATAGCTCTGTACCACACAGCAATGTTCAGTCTAGGCTGCATTTCAAGGTAGAATTTCCAAGAGATTTTGAAGAAGGTCCCTGTCTTCATTGTCTAATCAGCCTGGTATGTATAAGACTCTTGAGAAATGGTGGAAATGAGTATGAGCACTGCATAGCTGGAGAGAAACAAGTCCCTCTCTAATTAACTAGTTAACACATAAATTCAGCAAGAATTAAATAATAAACTGCACCAGATGTGCTCGGAAGCAGAGATGCTACAGGAGAAAGATGTGGTCTGTGTCCTCCAGTTGCTCACAGTCCAGTGAGTTTGCAGAAGGAGCTTTGTCCAATTCTAGGTGACAGTGCAGTGACGAAGGTCTGCTCTGTCCTCCTAGCCTCAGCACTGGGGCTTTCCCATCCCACTCTCAGGTTTCCACACTCACCAAGGTGAGCATGTTGGGCTTATTTGTCCTCTCCAAGGTCTTATCTCGTGAGAAGCCTAGCTATCAAACAGTTTACATATTCCTTTGCTGGAAATCAGCTTTTCATCTAGTACCAAAGAAAGGTACTCACAAAGAACTGCAGTAGATATGCTGAAGGCCTAATCACCTTCCATCCTTGGAGGAAAGCTGAGCATTCCTCTCTGAGTCTTCAGGTTTTTTATTTTCTTCGGAACTGGTCTGGATGGATCGAATGTCATACTCGCATGGTATTTTCCTTTATTTTTTCATTTTGAAGATTTCCCATTGAAGGGTGTTTTCACTTTGTTTTAAAATTTTTAAGTAAATTTTTGGAATCCTTTGGATGCTTAAAACTGTTGCCAGATTATGCTGAACACAGAGCTGAATTTTACACAAAAGAAGTACTTTAAAAACTTGCTTAAAAAGCTAATTTTTATAAATGGAATAGATTTTGGACTGAGGGATGTTAAGATTCCTTTTAGTTTTAAACAGCTGTAAATGCTATGTAACAATATAAGAGGTCTCAGTTTTGAATTTGGATTCACAATGGCCTTCCACACTTAATATTATGCTATTCCTTTCTCGAAGCTTTTCTGATATGGCCTCAATGAGTTTAATGTCTAATAGAGCATAACTATGACTATTCTTTAAAAACTCACATCTACTTTCTTTTCTATTTGTTTCCAGTAATCTAGTTTGCTTGTAAAAGCATGGGGTGGTGGCAAGACTCCAATATGAACCCCAAATGACCACATTTTGGCATCTGTGCCCTTGTGAGGACTCTTTTCATTGGCCATGTCTTGGGTTGACCAACAGAATATGGAGGAAGTGGTGCTCAGCCAGTTCTGTGACTGGACCTTCTGAGTCCTCCTCCTGGGACATTTGTTTTCAGGAGGCCTGAGCTGATGTGAAGGAAATTTCACTACTCTGATATCAAGATCATGTGAAGAAACTCTGAGACTGAATGGAGAATAACCAAGGTCCAGTGGTTTCAGTCCTAGTCCAGCCTTTAGATGACTCCAGTCCTAGCTGCCATCTGATTCCCACTACTTGAGAGATTTCAAAAGAGACCAGCAGAAGAGCCACCCTGCTGAGTCCAGCCACCCACAGAAAGGTGGTTTTGATCAGCAAGTTAGTAGCATAAATGGCAAACTTGTTAACAAGAAGATAGCCTTTCTGTTTACCAAAGAGAATTGCTTTCCTCACAGCAGTTCATATACTAACTTGAAACATTTGGTGGAGAATCAAGCTTATCCTTACTATCTAGGTTAGTGAGTAGCCAACTTATTCCTGATCAAAAAACTCATCAACAAGTGTGATTCTCTCTGTCCTGGTCCTCACTAGTGGCTGACGTTTTTTCTCATCTCTGCGTGGTTCCTCTGAGTCAGAGCTTGAACTGTCCCAGAAAAGCTGTCCTCGGGCCTCTTGTTCTTGGAACCACATTTCCATTTTGCCCATTTTCCGGGGACAATAGCCGTTCCTTGCTTGATATTCCAAAAATTCTTTATCCTGTGAATTTCCTACAAAAAATGAAAAATTTCAATTTAATTTTTTCTAACAATTCTTTTGGTTTAGTTAAGTGCCTAAGTTTTTATGAACACAGAATAAATTGGACTTTAAAAACTATACACAAATAAACACATATTTCCAACAGGTGTCTCTGTAAGCATCAAAAATTTTTAGTTGTTATTTTGAAAATTTTTAAGTCTTTTGAAAGTCACAAGAATAGTACAGTACATACCAATACTCTAAGCCATCTATAGCATTTTGCACACTATTGCTTTCAGCTGAGCCACTTAAGAATTAGTTGTAGTCACACCCCCTACAGATAGCATCATAAATCTCTTATGTTTTTGTTTGTTTTTTTTTTTGGTTTTTCTCCGGTACCAGGAATCGAACTCACAACCTTGTGCTTCCCAAGCAGGCGCTGTGCCACTGAGCTAAATCCCCAGCCCCCATAAATTTCTTATGAACAAGGGCATTTCCCCTACATAACTACAGCACAATACTTTCACTGGAAAATTTAACACTCATGTAATGAGATCTAATATCCTGGCTTATGAACTTAATTTGTTGTAAGATTTTGGAGAAGAGAGCTGTGTTCATGTTTGTGTGGGGAAGTTGGCTGAACTGTTTGCAAATAGAAGAATTTGTGAACTGAAGTATTACTATATATGATCCTTATCCAAATGTCCATGGGGGTTCCAATAATGCTCTTTATAGCTGGCTTTATTGTCTTTTTTTTTAGGTGCAGGATCCAATCTAGGATCATGCATTGTATTTCATTTTCTCACGTCTTTATCTTTTTTAATTAAAAAACCTTACCTCTCCTTTTCTCTCACTCCCTCTCTCCTCCTGTATCTTCATTGTCTTAATTTTTTATTAACACTGACATTTTAAAGAATCCAGGTTAATTATCTTGCATGATGACCCTAGACTTGGGCATTTAAGAATTGTTTCCTTGTGGTTAAGTTAAGGTTACACACATTGGACAAGGATATTGGATAAATGGTGTTTCTCAGTGCTTTTCACTGTGTGCTAGGTACACGATGTTCACATTTAATGTTCACATCAACTGACTTTATTGGGAACTAGGACCTCAACGGGTCAGTCAGCTTTATATTTTTATTTTTTCACTAGAAGAGTTACATTTGATGTCAGATTGTATTTGTGTGCATATATATGTATTTACTTTAACATTTTATTTAAGCTGCATCCAGCATCCATTTAGAATTCCCAGAATAACACAGTTTTGCTTGAGAAAGGTTAGCTTTCAAGAAAATAAAATCTTCCCAACCACCTTTAAGCAGGAAAACAATACTAGATCTAGCCTAGGGCCTGCCCCAGTCTGGATAAAGCATTTTGAATCACCTTAGTGATCACTATCTATTAAAATTTTTAGCATATTTTATTTAAACTCTTGATCTAAGCACTTACATTCTATCATATAAGAAAGCCACCATTTCTTTTTTCTTCAGCCTCATATGTTTAAAAATCTACTTTACTGAGGTGTGACTGACATTCACAGAGCTATGTACTTTTTTTTAGTACTGAGGCTAAAACCTAGGGCAGTCACATTTAACTACATCCCCACCCTTTTTGATTTTGCAGCAGAGTCTCACTAAATTGAGACTGGGCTTGAACTTGAGATCTTCCTGTCTCAGCCTCCCAGAGTGCTGGGACATTTTAAATATATATACACCTTGATGAACTGAAAGTCAAGTATTTTGATGTAAAGATTTGTGCCTTGTGATTCAGCAGAGTCCTTTCTGCCTGAGGGAAGGCTTCCCTGTTCTTCCCTGGAATATCTTCATGATTATGACTGTTGTCTGGCTACAGAGCCCTGATAGGTCACTACAGCTGACATGTCTGCAGCCCTGACCTCTCTTCTGAGCCACAGTGGACTTATTCAAAGCTGGACACCTCCGCCTTGACATTCACCTGGCCATGTATCAGCCTCACCTCTTCTCTCACAAACCTGCTCTGCTCCTGGTTGCTGCAGTCCAGGAAACAGTATCACATCTTCCCCATTACCTGCCCAGTCATTTGAGGAACCAAGCAGTTCCCCTGACCTTTTTAAAAAATACCTGATCACACTACATCCCTGCCCTATCAGTGTTCCCACTGACCTTAAGGTAGAGTTCAAAATCCGTACTTGACGTGCCTCACGAGGCCGCTGTGGAAGTCTCCGAAATCGTCTCTGCTTATCCTCTGAGTCTCTGCGCAGTGTCTAGAATGCATTATGCTCGCTCCCAGTGCAGGGCTTCTGCACATCCTGCCATTAGTTACAATTTTGAGCATTGCAGCATCCCTGGTCCTCACCCTCACATGAACTCTTGCTCCTTCCTGTCCTATTGGAATGTCACTTCCCGGTGGAACGCTGCCCTGCTCCGCAGATTACCAGCTTTGCCAGTTATACTCTGCCTGGACATCTCGTTCATGGTGTGTCCTGAAAAGGCTCTACAGCCCAGGCATTGCATCTGCCTGGCTCCCGACCATGAGCTGAGCATGGAGCAATGCCTGGCACCTGTGTGTGCTCAATAGCTGTCTGTATAATAGTAAAGGACTCAACCAATAAATGATCAGAGAACTTTAGGATGTAGAAGTAATGGTAAGGAGGACCTGGGAAAGTCTTCACTGGTGCTTAGAGGTATCCATTATCTCTGCTCTGCAAATGAGCCAGGAACTGCTAGAAGCATCCTACAGACTGAGAGGAGGAATGTACTAGAACATCTGACTAGAAGGAGAAACTTTCACACAGAAAATGTTTGTTACTCCATGTGGTACTAATGTGATACTAATGATAGCACATGTCTGACAACACCCTTGATCTTATGATAATTCAGGTCTCAAGTTAGCTTGTGAGCAAAATATCCCCAGTCAGCCTTGAAAATCAACCCTTGTCACTCAGAAAGTCTTATGTACACGGTTGTGTGTACACAGCATTACCGTTTGAGCACTTCTGAGCTAGACGTTTTATTATTTTTATAAAATGTTTGACTTACTGCAGTTTATAGGCTTAAAATCAATAAAAATAAAAACACAGCTTACAAAAACCTAAAAGGGCTTTGAGTGAAACATTGTAGAGGAAAGTATGTTCCACGCCAAAATTAATTTGGGAAGAGAGAAAAACAAGAGTTGCCTCTGTGTGTGTGGAGGAGGGACAGAGATGAGTTAGGTAGTACAAGGGTTATAAAGCCTGAAAAATGTTTGGAGGTTACATATTTTACAATATGTGTTTTAGGAAAGATGAATCACTCTATAGTATACCCTCAATTTTCACAGGTAATCCTATAGTTTAAAAAATAATGCAACATACTTTATAGAAAACTAGTACAGGTAGCCAGGTAAGACCAGAATTGTGAAGGTGACTTTCAAATGATGGATTTAGGGTGACATTTCTGTGAGTCATTATGTTGCTAACTATAAGGCATAAATTCTACCTTTTAAAATTTTGCCTTGGGCCCATGATATAGCTCAGCAGCACAGTGCCTGCCTGGTAATCGCAAGGTCCTGAGTTCAATTCCTGGCACCAAAAAACCCCCCAAAACCCCCAAATAAACCAAACCAACAGCACAAAATTTTCCTGTATTCCCATACATTTCTTATGGCATTTTCCATGGACATTTACACATACAAGATTAATTTCTACATAAAACTTATATGATAGACAATATTTATCCCCATTTGCACATGTGGACACAGGTTCACGGAGAGTCCATAACTGCAATTTAGCCATATCCTTTCTCTTTAGAGAACAAAGCCATGCAGAAAACACGTATGACTGGTTTCTATTGGGAGACTGTTACATGCTGGCCCCTCCCCGGGCAACAAAAGTGGCCTGTTCTTGTGGAGATTGTTTAGTGAGTGTGCTGCTGGGCTCAGTGAAGGACTTTGATTCTAACTCCAGTGCCTTTCCCCCTACTATGTTCAAATCATGATCCTGAAAGGGCAGGGGCCACATAAACACATTAAAACTCATAGAACTGTACGCCCCAATGAGCGAGGCTCACTTTGTATATATTATGTGGTCACATAAGTTATATTGCTAACAGTTGTCTGGAATTTATCATATAAAGATGTGTAACATAAAGGCAGGTGATTACACTTTAGAGATACAGCAGCAAGCTGATTTTATCTCCCAAGACAGCTGGGATTCTCATTCAACCTCCCAAAAGGGGAACAGGAAAGGGCAAGCATGTCATTGAGAGGGACATTAGCTACCAGACCCTGAGTAGCCTGAACTCAGCTGCATGATCTTGACGCCGCTCACTTGTGGGAGAAACCAGAGTGAAGGACCTTTAGGAGGCAGGGAGAGAAGGTAAAGATGCCTTGCGGCAGTGAGGAGCATGGAGCCCTTGCTAGAGCATTGCCCAGCGCAGTGAAGTGTGCAAGTTCCGAGTCAGCACCCTGAACATGCAGCACCCCCCAGCAGCTTCTCGCCCTCTGTGTGGCCTTGAGCATGGACTTGTCCTCTACGGATCTGAAAGAGAGGGGGAAAAATCCTCACTTCCCAGAACTGGCACAGAGAGGATGCTAGAATCCACTTAAAAAGGTTAGAAGCACCTTATCAATGGAACCCTGTCCACTGTCACCCCAATACCCTACACTTTCACGTGTGGAGGATGGTATGAGAGTTAAAGCACAGAGAATGGCAGCTTTGGTGTGCATTTTAGTCTCTCTGTCATCAAACAAACATCCACGGCCCCTCCCACCCTGTCCAACAACTGCAGCACAGGCGGGTGAGGGGCGGCAGCCGTCTTTCTCCATGAGACTGTGACTAAACGCAGTTTCATTCCAAGAAGGAGACTTAGAATTTCTGTCTCATGCTAAGATAATCTACATCTTCTGGGCTCATTTTCTGTATATTCACACACAAACATACACAGTCATTGCAAAGAAAGATTTTATAAAATTAAGTGTTGAGATCGCTTTCAAGAGTTATTGAATCCATCCAAGTTTGACTAATCATCTGAATCACTTGGGAAATTTTTAAAGTAGGCTTCCGCCCAGTGATTCTGATTCAGTAGCATGAAGCTGGAACCTGCCAGCTCCTCTGTTGGTTCTGCCGCCTCCCTGTCTGGTCACTCCTGCCTGAGATATGCTTTTGGTACCCACCCCGGGAGGGCAAAGGGCAGGAGAACATGCAATCATCCTCTTCCAGCCATTCCTACTTCCTTTAGGAAGCCCCCAGGTCACAGCCTTCCCTTGAAAGATCAGTCAAAGAGGGGGCTGGGGATTTAGCTCAGCGGCAAAGCGCCTGCCTGGCAAGCGCAAGGTCGTGAGTTCGGTTCCCGGTACCGGAGAAAAACCAAAGATCAGTCAAAGACTCACCCAATATATAAATATTTCCCCTGATGATTTCTGAGTCCTTGGCCTCCTGCTGAAGCCACACCAGTGGGAGGTCAGAAGTCCTGGCCTTGAATCCTAGCTCTGCCACATTGGAGTGAATAGCAACTCGTGCCTTTGAGGTTGTGCAAGGATTAAATGAGATAATACATGGTAAGGGCAGACACAGGACTGGCTTATGAGCACTCTCCAAGGCTGTGTGAACAAAAAGAAGCTGCTTTAAAAAGCCTCAGGAGAAGAGAAAAAAGCTGTTTCTCTACGTGCCACAGCAGGGACTCCCTCCAAAGCCTCCAAAACCAATGCTGGTTTTTCCTGGGCCTGTTCTCAAGTGGTGATTTTAGCTGAGCCTCTTTTCTTGGTGGTTTTCTATTAGAAAAGGTGTTTCACTATGTGACTATAAAGCATATTTTGTTCTGATACTTGGGAGCGTAGGATAAATGGATGCCCCAAGGAGATTTTCAATTATTCAGCCTTTTCTATTTAATTAACTTATTGATTAAGCATCTTGTTCCTCTGAGCAGGGCGGCGCCTCTTTCAGTGGGCAATTCTGCATTTCAGCAGCTCAGGTGTCCAGAGATGCTGACGCAGCTCCACAGCTGTCTTGGTGGTCAGCAGGCTGATGTGAGGGCAGCCCGCAGCGTGTGTGAGCAACACAGCACATTTGCAACTGCAGGTTTGCCTTGCGACTAGGAGAAGGGCAGACTCGATGGGCTCCAGCTCATGTGGCGGGGCTGCATAGCAGGTGTGCACAGATGCCTGTTGGGAAGCCCAGTGCAATTGCAGGCTGGGATAGAAGGGCTAGGTGTGCGAGGGGCAGGAGGTGAAGCTAGGAAAGTAGGGAGAACTAGATCCTAGAAGGTCTAGGGTCCCATGCTAAGAAGCTTAGCGTTTGTCCTTAAATTGATAGAGATTCACTGAATGATACTTTTTTAAAGCAGGAGAATGATCTGGTCAGATTTGCATTTTATGAGATCCCCTGCCGTGGGTGCAGCTCTTCTAGAGCTTCCCTGTATGAGAGTCCCCTGGTATCTTCATGACCGATCCTGATTCAGGGGTCTGGGAGGGCCTGTCATTCTCACCTGGGAGGCCATGATGCTGGCTGTGAGGAAGCACTTCCTGCTGGCATCCCTGAGGGGACAGCAGCATCACCTGGGTGTGTGTGGGGGCATGGTTTTAAATCCAGATGCCAGGGCCCAGCCCTGCAGCTTGACTGGGTTCCACTGGCTGAGCACAGGCCAGTTCCTGAGGTGATACTGACGGAGATGGCCTGAGGACGGGTGAGAAATCCTGACGTGGCGGGTTGGTGGAAGGTGGGCAAGACCCAAGGGGAGGAGACTGGTCAAGTGGCAACTGCAGTGGCCCTGGAGTGACTGGCTGAGGGCTCAGCCTCAGGTGACACCACAGGGAACAGAAGAAAGAGGGCAGATTTCAGCACGAGGTGGCCTCAGCAGGACTTTGTGACCGAGCAGCTCAGCTGCACGGTGAGGAAGAGCTGAAGAGGGCTCAGGGCTCTGGCCAGTGTGGCACCAGGCATGGAGGCCACGCCTACTGAGACGGGGAATGTGACAGGAGGAGCAGGCAACATGTTATTGTAGAACTTGTATTTCTACTTTTTCCACCACATACCCACTGGACTCTGAGAAGTACATACCAGCAAAACCCGAGGCTGTTGCTATCTTCTCACTGTCTTCTCCACCCTCACCCTGGAGGTATTTGGTCACGGTTCTGAAATGCTTGAAATATTTTACTAAGGAAAGATGACTCACCTGCACCTCTGTTCACAGTTTCATCAGGCAAAATAGTTAGAATGCTGGGGTCATCATTCCTTGGGAAACTTTGAAGTGTTTTTTTAGCCTTATGGTCTCTCAGGTTTTGCTTATTCAATTTTGCTTCCTTGTGAAGACTTTTCTTCCATTCCATTTGGGCCTGAAAATGATCAGATGTAGGTGGTTAACGTTCTCCTAAGCTCCTTTCACCAGGATAGAACAACGGATGGTCACTTTGAAAAGTGTGGAGTGCCTGTAGACATCTGGAGCTCCCTAACCACAATAGTTTTTGGTTTTTTTTTTCCTGTTAGAAGCTATGTGGGGAGGGTTTCTTTATTTATAGGCTTATCTGGAGAAGGGTGAATGTGCCCACAGTCTTCAAAATACATAGCTGAACTAGGGTAGGGATGGTTGGAGAAGCATTTCTCTGCAGACTGACAGGGTTGGAATTGTAGAAGACAGTGACCACAAGCTTATTCTGTGAGGGTAGGAATTCAGAATGCGACAGAGATAGGACATTACTGCTAAAGGAGTTTCTTACAAGAGGTCCGCTACAATTGGATGTGTCTTACAAAATTAATGCATTGGAAATTTAATGCCCAGATTCACGTGTGTGGTACTTGGAGGTGAGGCCTATAAAAGATGTTTAGGTCACCAGGGCTCCACCTTCCTTTTCAATTAAGGCCAGCATCCGGGGAGTGGGTTAGTCCTCAGGAGAGCAGGTTGTTGTACAAGTGTGTTCAGTGGCTTGGGTTTCTCCTGCTCCTGCCCTGTCACTCTCTTGCCAGGTGATGTCTTCTCCCAAGCTAAAATATAGCAAGCAGACCCTCGCTAGATGCCGCACCCTGAATCTAGACTTCCCAGCCTCCAGAGAGGTGGAAAATGGATTTCTTTTCTTGGTTGATTACCTTGACTATGGTATTCTGTTTTAGCAGCAGAAAATGGAGCAAGACCAGATCTTTCTTGTAATATAACCCTCTGGCATGAGGAACAGAGAGAAAGAACAAAGACCAACTCTTCCTCCGACCCATCTCCCTTTCACTGAACCAGGACAGATTATCTACCCCCTTTTCCTGCGGGAGTGTCAGAGGAGTGACTTGTTTGTAAAAAGAAGACTTGACGCTTAGACACATTCTTAAAGTGACTACAAATGGGACAGACTCAAGAGGGCTGTTAGCAGAAGGGATCATTCTTGTTCTTCTCAGCTGTAGTAGGTGAATCTCCAGCCCCCGGGACCACATTGAAACGCCAAGGAAAGCTTGGATTTGTAGGCGTGACTGTTTCATGTGGCAGCGTAACGATTACGTGGTGTCAATTTGGTGAATATGGTAGTCTTCCCTTGTTTACCTCTTGTCTTTTACGGTTCATTTCCAGCATTTGCATCTTATGTAAATACTGTCTTTTCCCAGAAGTATACATTGGCGTTTGCATTTTCTTTTCCAGTCCCTGCTGTGAAAGATGACACAGCCATTAGTATGGAGTGATTTGCTCCTGACTCTGCCATCCACAACCTTGAATCCTTTTTCGAACAAAGAGATCTTAATCCATCATTACCCACTGCTATCTCCTGTGATGAGAAAGGCGGACTAATGTGTGCTCCTGAGAGTCCTCTGTGTCACTCTCGGTGCCTCGAGTGGCACTTTGCTGTTTTTAGCTGCTGTAGATTTCTGCAAACCTTGAATGCAAAGGTTTGCCAGTCATATTCTGACAATATATCATTTCCCCTGCCAACAGATGCCTATTACAGTCTCCCAAGAAATGGATTCTTCCTTTCTCTCCTCACCTCTTCTGCCGTTGCCTGGTTGGCTGGCTATGAAATGAGAGGGCAGCTGCGAGTGTTTAAATGGAGCCTATTTCTGTATAATGTATTCTTTTGTGAGCCCTCTAAAGAATTGCAGGTGGGGGAGGATTTGACATTATTTGTGACCTTGGTTATCAGAGTAAGCAGTGGTGACGATACTGTCCCCGTTCACCCGCTGTGGCAGGAAAGGGCAGGGATGAGTTAAGAGGTGCTCTGGTGCTGCCCTGAGGACAGCGCTGTGCAAGTGTGTTCCCTGGCGGAGGGGCCGACTGTGCAGGTGCGGTCAGAGCATGGACACGGCCTGGGCCTGGAGCCCCTGACGGTGCCTGGACAGCTCTCGGCAATGCAGCCAGTGCACCAGAAATAAGCTGGCTCCAGAGGACCTGGAGTGGAGAATGTGGGAAGTTACTGCTCCCTCACAGCTTCCGTTCCTCTGTGTGTGTGGGGACAGGGGAGCAGTCGGGCACAGCCTGTAGATAAGGTTTGTCCTGCAAACTCAGAACAAAAAGATTTAAACTGGTGCAAGAGAGGGCTCGTGTGGGATTTCCCACAGAATTTGACAGCTCCCAGAATCCCCTGGCTCCGTGCTGAATCCCTCGTTCTCATTTCCACAGCCCTGTCTCCACCACAAAGCAACAGGGCTCAGTGCTCATCTGAGGGGAAAGACGAGCTGCCCGCTGAAGACGGGCACAGGCGAGAACGTAGCTTTCAAAGATTCTCACCATGACGGCCAGAGCTGGCTGTGAACTCTTCAGAGCAGGGAGAGGGTGACAAGCAGGGCTCCAGCCCCAGCGAGCCACCTCTCCCGGACGCCACAACTCACCTTTGCTCTGTGCCTCGTCCGGGCTTCTTGCTGATGTGGGAGTCTTTCAGAGGTCATTACTTGTGGCAGGTCAAGGGGCTGAAGTGTCTGGAGGTGCAACATTGAGAGTATTCAACATTCCTCATCCCATGAGAGGAGGAGACACAAAAGCCAGACCTTCGGCTATCTGAACGCTCCGCAAAGGCAGCACTTATCCTCATGAGCATACGGGGCAGGCCGGCCCAACAGTGTCACAGGCACATCTGCGCAAAAGGCTTTTGACCTTGCTGGGTTCTGTACTGTTCCACTGTGGGATCCCCAGTGACTCGTGAATGGAAATATTGATCAGAGGGTTGAGAGACTAAGGATCCCTTTCTGTCTGCACTGAGAGACCATGTTCAAAGTTATCAAACAGCCAGTTCTTAGAATACTGGAGCTAAAAGAGGCCTCAGGAAGTCCCTTTATTTTAGTCACCCTTCAAGCTCCCACCTGAGCTCCTCCAGTCCGTGGGGAAGTGACCTGTTTTAAGATCTCTAGAGAAATTCGCTCAGAGCCCTAGCAGTAACCACCGGTCACACTGAGTAATGTTTGGAGTTCAGAGTGCTGACAAATGTCAGAGGTGTCTTTCTAGCAAAGCCTTGGCTTTGTGGGAGAAGTCGTGTTGCAATTTCCAGGGTCACCGACTCTGGGCAGCAATTGACGTCATGGGTCTGCCTCAGCCCTGCTCACCTCCGTCACTTCCTGTTCCACAGGCCAAGCACCGAGCAGACCAGGGAGAGAAGCCTGGCTTCTCCACACTGATCTGCAGTTTACTGGTCACCCAGTGAGTGCTCGTCAAAGGCCCACTGCACACCGGGCCTGGGTACACAATGGTCACAAATATGGACACAGCTCCTCATGGAGCTGATAATCTACAGGCAACAGATACTTTTGCTTGTGTGATTGTTTGACTGATTATCAACAGTGATGAGGGGCTGGGGATTTAGCTCAGCGGCAAAGCGCCTGCCTGGCAAGCGCAAGGTCGTGAGTTTGGTTCCCGGTACCAGAGAAAAAACCAAAAAACCAAAAAACCAAAGAACCAACAGTGATGAGTGCTTTGAAGAGTAAGTGTACAGAGCAGGAATATGACAGTGTAGAACTGGAGCATGCAATCTTGGAGATGAACAAGAGATGTCATGGGTAGAACTGTGACCCCTCTTCCCATTCCTATGTTGAAGTCTTAACCCCTAGTACTATGAAGTGACAGTATTTGGAAATAAGGCCATTGCAGATGTAATTGGTTAAAAAGAGGGTATACTAAAATAGTGGGCCCCTAGTCCACAATGAAGGCTTTCTCATAAAATAGTGAACTATGACACAGGTACATGTACAGATACAGGGTAGACACCAGTGAAGACAAAGGCTGAGCTGAGGCGATGCTTCCATAAGCCAAGAAATGTCACAGTTCCCTAGAGATGGAACAGACCCTCCCTCACAGCGTCAGAAGGAGCCAGCCCTGCAGCTACCTTGATCTCACACCTCCAGCCTCCAGCAAAGACTTGCTGGATGGAATAGAAAGGGACAGAAAGAAGGTCACTGCTTGCTACTCCCTGCCTTCTGCCTGCCACACCATGGACTGTTTCTTCTCTGCCATTCCCCTCTGTGATACCGCCCTGTCTTTTAGCCAGCCAGCTATGGACTGAAACCTCTAAAAACTGTGATCTACAGTATGCTTTTCCTCCTTTAACTTTGGGTGTCAGGTATTTTGTCTCAGCAATGAGAAAAGTAAAACAGGGGTTCTAAGGGGACTAAGTTGTTAAAGGACTCTGTAGTAGGCAGAGTTAAGAACATGTGCTGGGACTCTGAGACAGAGGGAGAGTGTGATCTACTGAAGGAATGGAAAAAGGTCAGCTGGCTCTGTTCAGAGCAAGAGAAAAATAAGCTTGAAACAGGACTGGACAGATTGGGTGGGGGCCAGGTGTGTGGGGATCAAAGCTATTCTAAAGATGCTGGTTGGTCTCCTTAAGGGCAATGCGAAGCCACTGATATGAACTGTATTAAGCAAAGTAGTGATATGATTACTCATGCTTTTAACAATGATCACTGCTGGTGCAGTGTGGGAACAAGATTACAGAAGAGCAGTTATAGATGCAGAGAGAGTAGTTAGGAAGACAAAGAGGACAGAGGAAAATGGAAGACACCACAGAGGCTTAAACCTGGGAGAAGAAGATCTGTTATGGTGGAAGGCCAGAGTGAAGTTTCTAAATGACAGCCCAATAAAAAGGGTGGGCAGTGCTCCTGACTGAGATGGGGCATCCTAGAAGAGTGTGATAGAGACGAAAGATACATTTTCATTTGGACAGGCTGAGTTGAGGATCTCTTTGAGACATGCTGGGGTAGATGCTGAGCAGGTAATTACTTATACAACATGGAGCGCAGAAGAGAGGTCTATGTTGGGGATGTATGTCTGGGAATAATCCCTGGATACCGCATGACCAAGGTCATGGGCAAGATCAAGAGTGGGAAGAATGGATCCAAGGGCTACAGATCTGGGAATTCCAAGTCTGACAGCCTGGCGGGTGGGGATGCGTTGGCCAAGGAAACTAAGACATGACAGGTCAGGGGGGAGGAGGAATGCCAGGAGGACACTGTGATGCAACCAACAGAGTGAGCACCTCTCCTGCCTTGGTCCAACACTAAAGGCAAGCGATAATTTGTTTAAAAATTGTTTTTCATCTTAGTGTGATTTGTGGCATTGTGAAGTAGATTTGAAAAACAGGGAGAAAGAGCAGGACCGTGGCAAAGAGATGCTGAGGATCCAGCACTTGTAAGGGAAGCACGGCCTCTGCCTGGGTCTTCTGCCTTTCTGTAAACTCACCTGGGCCTGGGCCTGGGCCTGGGCCCACCTGTTCTGCAGGGAGCTGCCAGCAGCCCTTCTGTTGGAGCCGCCAAAATGTAGCTGAAGGAAGAAAAGAAAGGAAAGGACGTGGAGACAAGACAGAGTCATCGAAGGCAGGTGCTCTGTGTGCTTCAGGCACTTTGATTTTGTGGTAAGAAGTGGGTGGAACCCTGTCCTATGCTCATCTCTGATGAGGAAGTGGCCTTTAAGCCTCATTTAGCAAAGATGCAATGAGAAGTGGCCGGTACTAGTTTGCTGTCTTTGCTGTCAATTTGCAGGACATGAGGATGCAAATCAAATGGGACCCCGGAGGCAGCAACTGACTGAGAAGCTGGAGAAAAGGAGGCAATAGAAGGGAGACCAAGGGAGAGGAGGCCTCAGGGCGTGCGGGGAGGAGGAGTCGGCGATGGCTGCAGGGAGTTCTCTAGGGAGGGAGAAAGGGAACTGCTGTGCAGTCTGGGCACTGGGCAGTGAGTCCTCAGGATTGGTTCTTCTGGTTGGGGCCTGCATGGCGCACCACGCTCAGGCATAAGTACGTCATCCCTCCATCCTCGGGTGGACCTGTGTAAGTAGGAGACCTCTGTTCCACAGAGGCCGATGACAGTTCTGAGTTTGCCTGGCTAGGAGGTGGCTTCTCCGGAATTCAAAGGCAGGTGTGTCCAGTTCCAATCCCGGTGCTCCATGCTCCACTATTTGTTCCTCAAAATGGTTTACCTTCAGGACCTTCTGGAATCAAAAATAGAAATTTCTGGGACGTTGAGATTCAACAGTTCTGGGAGTCGCTCCTTTTCAAACCCCTCTGGAGCGTTCTGATGGCTCCTTCCCAGGCTGGGCCCATGGACCTCCATGCAGCCTTGACTGAGTACAGGGACTACATTAAAGCAGACCATGGGGCTTCTGCTGGTAGATTAAGATGTTTGAAGAATTGAATCCGAAGAAGCCATGATATTTTTCTCATTTGAAATCATCTGCGTATAAATTCTTAGAGCCAGGTTTTTGCTTTAATGATCTAAAAGTACAAGTACACGCAAACCCCGTTCTTCTACCCTCAGTCTTTTTATTGAAATGCACAGTTCTGATAGTTAATTGGTTAGGGTTCTGGGAGAACTCTCTCCAGGCCATGACTTTTAGTCAGATTATTCCTCCATAAAGCCACTAGATGGCAGCAACTGACATTGTAAATAGGATCTCCACTTGGACTTGGCCTGAGAAGCACTGCAGGAAAAAAGGTTAGGAAAATTGGTTTCATCTACATAAATAAGTCAAATGGCATAATCTCAGAATTCTGGGTTCATATGCATATTCCTCTGCCTGCCCGAGAACTAAAGTGCTTCAATGAATCACCTTCTGAGGGAATATAATGGAAGGAATTACTAGAAAATTGGTAAGATGACACCTTTTTTCATTTATAATATTAAGAAATGTATTATTTGTCTAAAAACTTGGATTAGCTGTATTTGGCTTTTCAGATGAGGAGAATGGTAAGCAGAACCAGTTGGAGTGTCTTCCAGGAGCCTGAAGAATCAAGATCAAGTCACCTACAGACCACAGTCACTACACTGAAATGGTCACTTCTGTTAAAGGGCCAGAAGAGGAAGATGAGCTAGAGGAACTCAAAGAAAACGTCCAACCTGTCTGCACCATGACTTTCAAATTTGTCCCCTTCAGGTTCTGGGGAGCAGGGAAAGGAGTGTCCAGGGCAGCTTTAAAATGAGAAATTATAAGGCCAAGGAGGAATGTCTGATCTAGGAATTTCTGATCTAGGCATTGCAGTGAGTTCACATTTCGATGGTATTCTTTGCTGCAAACAGTCAGCAATGAAAAAGCAAAGCATAAAATAAAAAATATATGGCTTGGCTTTGATACAAAGTGAACATCTCTCTAGATCCCGGAAAACAAATATTTGGGGAAAGCGGATTCACAAGACACTTTAGGCTCGTTCTCACTGTGAGTTATTTCTGTTGGTTAAAGGGAATCTAAAAATGCTCCATAAACAATGGGAACCCAGAGCCCAGCTCACAGGCGGAAAGCAGGGGCTGTTCTCAACCGCTCCGCACAGTATGAAAGAGAGACCCGGCTGGCTTGTAGGTGGGTAGAGCACACTCTTAGTATGTGAGGGCCCTGGCTTCAACCCTTGGCACTGGAAAAAATACGTGGGTCAGCATATGTAAATGGGAAGGTTTGTTTTACAAGCACCATCAAAAAATTGAACATGAAGAAGACTACACTTTGTACCAGTAAATCTGAAAGCTTGGCTAAATCAGTAATTTCCTGGAGACATAAATATTAGAATGAAGAATAAGATACGCAGGGCTGGGGATTTAGCTCAGCAGCAAAGCGCCTGCTGGCAAGCGCAAGGTCATGAGTTTGGTTCCCGGTACCGGAGAAAAACGAAAAAAACAAACAAACAAACAAAAAAAAGAATAAGATACCCACATTAAGAACCATAAAAGAAATTAAGTTAGTAGGAAAGTATCTCATTCCCCTTAAAAATTTAGTGGCCAAAAAGGATGAAAGGCCTATTTTATCAAACTTGTTAGGAACAGGTGTTAGAACCCATGTTATAATAAATATTTTAGAGAATGGGAAAGAGGGAAAGGTGATTAACTTATTTCACAAGACTAATTCAGTCTTGATGGTGAAGTTAGGAAAAAAACCCTGAAGAATATCATCGATCCATTTCACTTACTAAAACAGATACACAGAGCCTGACAAAGTCCAATTCAGCAATCTCTTTATATATGTATCTCATGACCAAGTAGGATTTATGCCAGAAATGCACATATAGTTCAGCATATACAATCTGCAATGTATCAACTGGTTAAAAAGAAAATCTGTGTGGTTATTTTAATAGATGGGGGAAATAAGTGCAGTTTAACACCCCGTCCTGAGAAAAACTCTCAGCCCTGACGAATAAAGGGAAGGCACACAATGTAAAGCAACAGTGCTGTTTGAGGATCCTCTGTTTGTTTTTCCAGAGCCACCTGCTGCACATCTGTGCCCTGTTTTTGGCCCATGAGGGCTGAGCGGTTTCCCTGCATAGGAGGAGCCCCAGCAGGAGGCTGGGGCAGAAGGACGGGGAGGGCTCAGGCCCAGTCTCTCAAAGTCATATGGGGGGCTGGGTTCCTCCACGGAAGGTCACTGCTACCCTCAGGGCAGAGTCCTCTGCCCGATTTGCTCCTATTGGGGTCCAGACTTCTCTTGCTCTCCTAGTCCCTTAACCTGGAAGGGGTCACCCCTCGGCTGGTACTCGTGGTGACTGCAGTAACTTTTGCAGTTTCCTGAATTGAAACCTCTGTTCCTAGATCCTCATAAAGAAAATGTTGCTGAATTATTGTGATTTGAATGTGCAATGAATTCCTTTTGGGGACTTTGACTGGTACAAACCCTATTGTAAATATTGTACAGGTTGAGTATCTTGTATCTGAAATGCTTAGGACCAGAAGTGTTTAAGATTTTGGATACTTTTTTTTTTCAGATTTTGAAAGATCTGCATATACATAATGAGGTGTCTAAACACAAAATTTGTTATTTTATGCGCTTTGGGTGCGCAGAGCCTAAAGTTAATTTTACACGATATTTGCAGTGCACCTGAATTTTGGCTGCAATCCATCACATGAGGTCAGATATGGAATTTTCCTCTTGTGGGGTGATGTTGTTGTTCAAAGAGTTTCAGGTTTTCAGGTCTTGTTGGATTTCAGATTTTTGGATTAGGGATGTTCCGCCTGTAATTAGTTTCAGAGCTGGTCCCACAGATAAGACAAAAATGCCTGTTATTCAAGATTTTAAGGGAAGTTCTAGCCAAAAAAGCCCCACAAAAACAAGTACAAGGAATAAGAACAGGGAATAGAGAGACAAAATTATTCTTATTTGTAAACAATATTATTTATATGGAAGTCTAGAAGAATCTATAGACAATTAGAATTGCCAAGGGAGGTCAACAAATTGTGGAACGCAAAATCTGACATACAAAAATCAGTCACTTTGTATTCCCCAATGATAATCTTTCAGAAATTTGAATGAGGAAAACACCTCATTCACAAGAGGGAGGAGAATCCTCATAAGGTATTTGTGGGTCAGTGTGATAGTCAATTTGAACAGGCTGCAGTCTCCTGTTAGAGTCTGTAGGCATCCAACCTAGGTGTTGCTGGAAGTTATTTTGTAGATGCAATTAAAACCCAGAGTCAGGTAAATTGAAATAAATTGATGTGTTAAGTAGAAATTGGTGTTCTGGGAAAAGATAAGATAGAGAAGGGTCAAGGAAACAAGAGGGCTGGGATGAGGATAGCAACTGTCAGGGTAGGCCTCCTAAGGATGGTGAAATTTAAACACACCTTTGGAGAAAAGGGATTATCCAAGAAGATCACCCGGGGATACACTATGTGCGTGGGGAACCTTCCCTTAGTCTGGACCTGAGATGTTAGACGAGAAAACATTCCGGCCAGATGTGGGAGTGCTGACCGATTGCTCTGTGTGGGCACAGGAGCATCTGATTCAGGCAAAAGTACTCATATCTTCTCAGCTCCAAGTTAAGGCACCTAAGTTCATGGGCTAATCCATACTTGAGAGGTAGATGTTCAGGAAGTGATGGATGCCTAATATGCCACTCAAATTATTTAGGATGCAATTAGATTTGGTTTGAATAATTAAAAATAGTTTTAGAATTTTTTTGGCAGAGATCAGCCTATGAATTAGCACGTCATGGGAAGCCAGCACTTATTATTCTCTCAAAACCCATTCAGGGGGAAAATGTGCTGAGCCTCCTTTGTGAAGAGAATTATAGTCGATGTCTTTGGGAGTGTCTGCCAAGTTCCTGGTGATTTCCCCTTCTGTGGGAGCTAACTCCAGAATCTGCAGGGTGACTCCTCCACCCACATTTCCATACACACGCATGTTCTCTGGCCACAGCTTGTTGAATTAGAGCTGAAATCACGAACAAAGCTGAGCCAATAAGACCTTGTCTCCCAAGAATCTGGAATTAGAGCCAAATGGGTCAGGCCCACTATCCTTTTGACTGGGACTCTAGGATGCACTGAATACTGAAACGCTTATCTTCACACAACAAGTACTGCCGAACATAAAAGATCAAATAACTACGAGGACAGTCATAGTGCGGGATCTTAACACCCCACTTTCACAGAGAGATAGAGCAACTAAACAAGCAAATGACCCCAATAAATTTCAGAGCTGAACCACACCATTGAGCATAGGAACTTAATAGATACCAACAGCATATTCCACCACACTACAATGGAGTGTACATTCTTCTCTTAGCACATGGTACTTTCTCTAAAATAAATCACATACTAGTCCACAAAGCTTGCTTAAATAAATATAGAAGAATCAAAATCATCTCATGTATACGATCAGACCACTGTAATGAAAATAGAAATCAACCACCGTTTGACCAATCTTACATGCCTATATCTGGTAATATGAGCAACTACTTTGAAGATAACAATATGCTATGTAACAGCCATTGTTAATTTCCTTTCATCTTGTGAAATTCTGTGTCTTTGTTATTATTCTCTTTAAAGTAAAAAAAATCACAGAAAATTTAGAAGCACCTGAAAAATTAACAACTTAATTCTAAGCAGCCAATGGGTGACACAAAAAAATCAAGGAAGATATTTTAAAATTTTCTGGATGTTGCTAACAATATCTGTGCAACTCACTGGAACCTCTGGGACACTCTGAAAGCAGTTCTAAGAGGGAAGCTCATTGCAATCAGTGCTTTCATTAAGAAAATAAAACAAGCTCAAATAAATAACCTCATCAGGGACATCAAGATGCCTGGGAAACAACAACAATCCAGGCCCAAACCAAAATGAAGGAGAGAATCATACAGATTAGAGCCGAAATCACTGAAGTTTAGACTAAAAAAAAATGCAAATAATTAATGAATTGAAGAGCTGGTTTTTTCAAAGGATAAACAAAATACCAAGTCCACCAAAAAAGGTATACATACTTTAGGAAAAGAAAAATAGTATTTTTTTCAGTGATGGTGTTACTCTCGTATGGGAAATCCTAGAGGGTGTTCTATAACACAGAAAAACCCACTACACTACTGGCCTCTAGAAAAGAAATTGAAAATGCATGTGCAACAATCTCAATGCCCAAGGTTACCCAGGCAGCAGTTTACTGTACTAATAAATGTCTGGGAGCTCATGGCCACCACTCTGAACATATCTTTTAATTGTAGAGACCAAAGGTATTAATTTCATGATGTCTCAATAAATTTA